GTTCCGCATGGGATCTTCACTCACCAATTTCGGCTCATCACCATAGGACAGTCGTTATCACGTCGCTTGTTGGCTTGGTCGGCGTGGGACTCGGGTCCTTGCGCACGGCTCTCATGGCGATGCCACAGCGTCGGCATGTGGAGGTACAACACGACCTTTGAGGTTCAGACTTGGCATTTAGGGTTCCTTATTCAATCGGTGTTTCTACGGGCGCAAAAAGGAGTCATGATATCTGGTGGGTCGTCGGAGGGCGGTTTACAAGGCTCGGACCGGCAACGACGCACTACGGCCTTAAGATTAGGTTGCATTGGCTGGGTGTGCTCCCGACGGTATTGTGTTATTGGTATGGGAAAACGGCACTGCATGTCTTCGCATTTACTTCGGATTGGATTTTTCATGGGGCACAGTTTTGTTCTTGGCAATGTTTTGTCTCGCACACAGCCCGTGTGTTCAGCCGGGCGGCGTTTGGCTTTGGGCGGTGCATGTCAGATCGCGATGCACTCAACCCTGCATGGGCGAGGCATGCTCGTACACATGGCATTGCAGCACTTGTTGAAATAGGTCCGATAGCAGGCCGGCATTCCCTTATTTCTCAGTACGATGACGACACGTATATATGCAGGTAGCTTCACGGCACAGAAATGCACGCTGGTATCCACTCCGCCCACAGAGCTCTCATCGCAACGTCGCAGGGAACGCATGGCTTAATGGGCGATCACGATCTGCCTCGGTGATAAGGTGAGGAGCTATAGTGCGGCGCTGGTGCACACGGTAACCGTAAGCACCAACCGTGCCACAGCATCTAGATTCCTGCGGGCACGTTCTTCCTCCAATCCGCTTACCAGCAATCAAACGCTTTGGCGAGCTTCCTCCGCGACCTCGTTGGAACGAACTCGTCGCCTGGCGTCGCTATGGGATTCATGACTCGAGCGCGCAGCATGCAGCCGCAACTCAGAAAGTCCATGTGCATATAACCGGGCGATGATCATCAATATCTTTTCAGAAGCGAGTAAAGTAAGCATCCACAATAAGAAGAGTAATCCTTCATCGCACTGCCGGAGCCCACTGTAAAGCGACACAAGCCGTTAGGCAGATCGGCCCAGGGTACCAGGTTCAAAAAACGGCATGCGTGGGGTGTTGTCGCACATCTCTGTTTCGCGGCTTGGGAGGGCGGTTACGGTTACGTTCGTCCGGCCCAAACCCGCATCCGATGGGACCGGTACACTTTCCCCAGCGGCGCAATGACGAACGTTGATACCAGCTATGCGGATTCAACAGCGACAAAGCAGGAAAGCCACGGCACGCCATCGGTCCTTCTGACCTTGACGATCTGGAATGCAACCCCCCACGCTTCTTAGGCAGAGTTGGGGAATATAATCCGAAAGGCCCGGTGGAAGGGTCTGAATATATAGCCTGATTCGAGGGAACGCGCCGTCGGTACCTGGCACTAGGTCTCAATGGATGGACGAGAGGAGCAGAGAGCATGGTCCTGAGACGATGCCGATTTCTTTCCATGGTTCAGTGTAGGACCGATGTCGTGAAATCTTGCGCGACGTTGCGCACATGGCCTGACACCCAACCGCGTGGGTTACTCAACGTCACAGATTGAGGGTATACGTAGTCACACACGCAAGGCGAACGTCGAGAGGGCAGTTCCTGACACCTTCCGTCATCTATTCCAGCCTGACCCGATGTCCCCTACACCCACATGATCCCAGAGACCCCAGCGATAAGCCCGGGGACAACAATAGGGTTACAGCAGCTATCCATTGACTCCAGAGTCTAGAGCCATCAGACCGTTCGCATCTGAGTCGTAAATAGGCCTCTGATTATTTCCGAGGCCACCCACCGATCTACTTTCCACTTACTCACTTGGTGATGTACTGTATTCATCTTACCGGTACATACCGGATCTGGGTACGTACTTCGCATATATCTGTCGTCTGAACATGGATATAAGTCCGACCCTGAGGGATACATGCGCGACTCGCGATGCAACACAAAAGCCATGAACCACTACTCGTACGATGGTGCCTGCATATGCAACCTGCATGGAACGTCCTTCATCCTGATAATGCCGGTGAAAATGCCAGATTTCGGGGTGCATCACTGGCTTCGTGGGATGTGGACGTCGAACCCTACACCGTTATTCGCGAATAATCTCACACCGATGTCAGCGCAGCTAGCTGGACCCAGTCCACGAGGCAGGACGCGCGTGGCGGTTGACGCAAGCCATCAATATTCCCAGTCTAGTCGGCGTAGGATAACGTGATTGCTTGTCCATGCGAACTAGATGTCCGGATAGGGTCATATGCAGCCTTGTTGGCTGACGTCCTTCAACGGACCTGCAGCTGACACGAAGAGCGAGGTTGTGTCAGCATTCCACAGCATCGCGTGGCTTTCGGCCATCAAGGCCGCCCACGGCGAGTGTCAGATAGAAAGTAGGGCATTCACTAGGATGCAGCTTGTTGTCGACGATCGGAAAGCGGCAGGGTGCCCAGGTGGTGATGGGTGTAAGATATCCACTATGCAAAAGCTGGTTAATGGCTAAGGGCGTGATATGTGCCTACTGGCGATCATATGAGCCGCAAAACCGTTGCGACAAGCGACGGCGTCGTAAGTGAAGGCTGACAATAATTGTGGAATGGAGGTGGCGGAGTGACAGTGACAGGCTTGGAAGCAACGTCCGGCGCGCCAAAACTTCAGGATTCAAGTATTTCTGCCCAACGCGCTGCCTATACGGATTCGACATTTGACAATATTGTGGCTGTCCAAAAAGCGAAACATCTTCAAGACGCACCCATGAAGCTCAAGACATCATTAGTGATCCTACGGTATGTAGATATTCGGCATTGGAAGCCGTAGTCTTAGTCTTATCACGTGTCCGAGTAAGCCTTAGCTTTAGTATCTTAACTATAGGAATTTAAAAAAATTTTAACTTAATAACTAAAGTATACTATTATAGTTATATACTACTAATACTTAAAAAAAATAAAAATATAAAATCTTTATACTTATATATTAATTTTTTTACTTATTTTTATTTATATATAAAATAGTAACTACTTTTACTTTTATTTTTTAATAAGTAAGCTTAATATTATAAGTATACTTTAGTTACTTAATATATACTACTTATTTTATTAATAACTTTTATATTAAGTAAAAGTTTACTAACTTTACTATACTTTTTAAAACTACTTATAATTACTTTAAAAAAGTATATTTATAAGTAACTCTTTACTTTATAGTAGTAGCTAATTTTATTTATAGTAATATAAGCTTTAGTACTAATATTAAATTTTTTATATAAAGTAAATATAATACTTTTAAATAACTTTATAAAAAAGTTCTTACTTAAACTACTACTACTAGTAATAATAACTTTTTTATTAATATTAAAAGCTAAAGCTAAAAAAAGTTTAAAATATAAGTAAAATATATTTTATTTAAAGTTTAAAAATAATAAAAGAGATTAGATTAGTAGACTAGTAATTAATAAGCTTATAGACATGTACTGTAACGTCTTCTACAGCGTAATATTAGGCTCTTAGTCTTAGTGCACATTAGAGAGGCAGGATGGTACATCTCCCGCTGTCTTCGCACCTGCATTTCATCAAGACAACAAGATCTGGGACTAGCCGGTCCGTTCGCGCATCTCCACGCATTGCAAACTTGGAAACGACAGCGGATTTATTTACCGTCCGCAAATCAGGCCTTCAAGATCGATGTGAATAATGGGTTGGTGGAACTTCCTTGGAATGCAACTCGGAAAGTTGGCCCCACCCAATAGGATGCCGCATCGAGCGAAATACAAAAGGGTGTTCCGACGCAAGACACAGGGGGCAGCTGTCAATTGCAGACTCCCGAGGCTTTTCTGCTTTCTTTATCCAGGTGGATACCATTCTTTCTGGAGATCGAACAATCCTCCCGCTGCCGCTACTGATTCCGCAAACTTTGTTGCTGGCCCACCCGTCGCCGAAAGCTAGATATGAGATTTCGGAAGCGATGTGGAGTTCACACGCAATCGGGCCGTAAGAGCGAGCCCCTCGCTCAGGTAGGGAGGCCGTCCCGAATCTTTATCGTGTGAAGAGTCTCGCGTAAGGCGTGGTACGTATCGAGGTACGTACCGTCGGTAAGTGAACAGTGGCTCTCAGCGTCTCACGCGTATATCATAGAAGTCTATCGTTCACACTGAATCGGGTTTTGCTCGGTAATCACTCTTTTGGCCCTGGCTCTATATCTCATACGGGGTTCCACATGTTCAAGGCCGTCCGCGTTTTAGATCACCTGCATCCTCAATATCTTCTAATGCGGGGTGGTTGGCATCATCGGGCCCTCCGAAGCAGACGAGCACTATCGAAAGGTCCCCCGAGGAGCCAGCACCACGCAATGCAACGAACTGTAGAACAGAGAGGAGGCCTGACCAACACAAACCCTGAGCAATCGCCTCGGACGTCTATATTTGTACTCTTTCTACTGCATGTTCGAGGTTTGATTGGCAGCGTCGTTTATTTTGCTTGCTCAAATTCCATTTGCATAAAGATGCATCTCGCGCAGGATTCCGCTACCCAAGATTGGCAAGTTGGCTGGAACGCTGCTCTTCCGAGCTGGGGTTTTGCCCGCCCCCGGTCTGAACAGTTCTGCGAGGTTGAACCCTCCTCCATGCTGTCAGCCGTAGCCAGGCTCGTCGAACAACACCATTTCTTCGCGATGTGAGTTGCTAACAACATATTGCAAGCCATCGAAATGATTTTGCAAGTGAAAAAGAAGGAGCTGCGAACTATAGAAAAGTAAGAATGAGACCTGTAGGAGAAGAGTCCGGCCAAGCCCCTGCATGCAGGTCGGCTGGCAAGCGAGGCGGGCGTGTTTGAACAACGTCGTATCGCGCCAAAGAATCTCCGTCGTGACATGTGAGCGGCGACTGAAGAAATCCATGCGCGCTGCGCGCTTCATCCTTTGCGCCTGCATTATCATGAACTTTTAACCAAACCCCAGGTATGGAGTCACTAGAGACGATGGAGCCAGGGCCTATGCAGGGAAACGAGGAAGGGCGACCCTCGGCGTCAGCTGGCGCTCCGCCCGGCCCCAAAGAAGAAGCGGCGCCTGCAACACCTCCCACAGCACTCCGCGGAGACTCCACAACTACCGATCTCAGCGACAACCACGGCATCTCATTGCGCGCAGTTGACCCGGTTTCTGTGCGATTGGAACATCTCACAGTTTCAGTCGATGAATCGCCAACGGCACTTGCTCGCGCCTTCTCGAAGAAGAAGGCGTCACCAGAGACCAACCATGTCAAGACTATACTTGACGACATTTCGGCGGACATGCCAAGTGGAAGCCTCACAGCCATAATAGGTGGAAGCGGAAGCGGAAAGACATCGTTACTCAACTCCATGAGTGGGCGTTTGGCCGTAGGAAACCGACTTGCCACTTCCGGAAGGACCCTATTCAACGGTAGCGAAGATGTATCCGGTATCAGGAGCGCATATGTTATACAGCAAGATATCCTTCTGCCGACGTTGACTGTCCGAGAGACTCTGACGTATGCTGCCCAACTGCGACTACCCTCTTCTGTTGACGCAAAAGAGAGGAAGCAGCTGGTTGAAGAAGTCATCTTGGAGCTGAGCTTGAAAGAAGCTGCAGACACCAGGATCGGTAACAACGCGCACAAGGGCTGCAGTGGCGGAGAGAAGAGGAGGACGAGTATTGGCGTCCAGCTCTTATCAAATCCCTCGCTTTTGTGGCTGGATGAGCCGACCACTGGATTAGACTCAACAAGCGCCCACCAGGTGGTGAAAACCCTCCAGACTCTTGCTCGAAACGGACGAACCATCATCGTCACCATCCATCAACCCCGTTCCGAGATCTGGGATCTTTTCGACAATGTCATCCTCCTATCACGGGGCAGTCCTGCGTATGCTGGCAGCGCAAAAGAATGCCTTCCGTACTTTGCTAAGCTTGGTCACGAAATGCCACCATTTACAAATCCAGCGGAGTATCTCATTGACGTCGTCAGTATCGACAATCGGAGCGTGGAAGCAGAAATGGCGGCACAGGATCGAGTTGGTCGCGTAATAGAAGCATGGCGGACTCATTGCAGTAGTAGCGCTCAAGAGAAGTCCGAACCACCAGCTCCGGCCACTACGATGACGCACGATCAGCGGAAGAAGCAACGTGCCAGTAAAACGTCGCTCATGCAGCAGACTCACGTACTGACCGCACGAACATGGACTGTGACAATTCGTGACCCTATGGGTAAGACGTTCGATATGAGCTCTATAGATTGAGCGTACGCTAACTTCGTTGATTCTAGGCCTGTTTGGAAGTCTTGTCGAAGCCATCGGCATGGCAGTCATTACAGGATGGATCTTTTTGCAGCTAGATGGCTCACTATCTGGTATACGATCCCGACAAGGAGCATTGTACAATGCAGCGGCGCTGCAGGGCTATCTAATCTTGCTCTACGAGACATATCGACTTACGACCGACATCCAACTTTTCGACGAAGAGGCACGACAAGGTATCGTCAGCATACCAGCCTTTCTCATCTCTAGACGACTAGCCAGAATTCTGCTCGAGGATGTACCAGTGCCTCTCATCTTCTCGCTGATCTACTACTTCTTCTGCGGATTCCGTGCGGACGGAGGCCAGTTCCTCACGTTCTTCGGTATCATACTGTTACACCAGTACATCGCCGTATGCTTCGCTATGACCTGTGTCGCGTGCTCAAGACACTTCGCTGGAGCGAGTTTGGTGGCTAATCTAGCCTATACCTTACAGTCTATGGCTTGCGGTTACTTTATCCAGTCAAACACGATTCCCATCTACGTACGCTGGACGAAGTGGACAGCCTATGTCTTCTACGCCTTTGGAGCATTATGCGCCAACGAGTTCTCCGGCTCTTTCTACGACTGCCCATACGAGGGCGGACGTTCAAATCCAGCGTGCAAAGAGTACGACGGAGAGTTCATTATGGACTCTCTTGGCTTTCCGAACAACTGGGTTTGGAGACCCATACTGGCTCTACTTGGATTTGCCATCGCCTTCTATGTGGGAGCAGGAGTCCTGCTCAAGTTCTGGAACGCCGAGATCGCTATGGCTCGTGCCAGACCGTCCAACATGGATGCCTCTGCTGGCAAAGAAAAGATGAGCGAGCGTGTGGCAGACAACGTCAGGACGATCGATATCCGCTTAGAGGGCTATGGAATGGATGTGGAGAAACGATCGTTACGGAAGCGCTGGACCAAGAACATCATCAAGCCTCTTACCGCCGACTTCTTCCCGGGGTCGCTGAACGTCATCATGGGACCTTCGGGCTCTGGGAAGACATCTCTGCTAAACAGCATGGCGATGAGACTCAAAGACGACACATCAACGCGGTACAAACGGTATGGCACCATGAGCTATAATGGCCTCATCCCAGCCAAAGAGGTCGTCCACTCTATCTGTTCTTTCGTCACCCAGGATGACGACGCACTGCTGGCGTCGCTGACAGTGCGCGAGACGCTTCGTTATGCAGCTGGTTTACGACTTCCGAAGTGGATGTCGAAAGAACAGAAGATCCAGAAAGCCGAGGAGATCTTGCTGAAGATGGGTCTCAAAGACTGCGCAGACAACCTCATAGGCAACGATCTTGTCAAAGGCATCAGTGGTGGCGAGAAGCGCCGAGTGACAATCGCTGTGCAGGTACTCACAGAACCTAGAGTGCTGTTGCTTGACGAGCCTTTGTCGGGATTGGATGCGTTCACAGCACTGTCAATCGTGGACGTACTTCGCGGTCTAGCCCAAGAAGGTCGTACACTCATCGTTACAATCCATCAACCTCGCAGCGACCTCTTCGCACATTTCGGTAACATCCTGCTCCTGGCCCGCGGTGGACATCCCATCTATGCCGGCCCTGCCGACAACATGTTAGGCCATTTCGCCAACTTGGGCTACGAATGTCCTCGTCACGTCAACCCAGCGGATTTCGCTCTCGATTTGATCACTGTTGACCTTCAGCATGAGAGACGTGAGGCCGCCAGTCGGAAGAAGGTACGCAAGTTGGTCGAGTCGTGGAACGCTGATGTCTACCCTGTCGCTCGAACTGGGTCAATAACTACGCCGGCTGAGTTGGGAAGTATGGCACGAGAACCATCGTCTTTCGCCGCAGCATATTCCATTCTGATTCGGCGTGCGAAGAAGAACATGTTCCGGCAGCCAGACATTCTGATCGCGCGCGTCATGCAAGTTGTCGGATTGGGTATCGTGCTTGCGCTCTACTTCGCACCGTTGAAGACCGACTACGAATACGTGCAAAACAGGATGGGGTTCCTTGTCGAGATCGCCCCGCTCTACTTCGTCGGCAGTATGTAGCCTTCCTTCCCATATCCTCTTACCATGCTAACCTCAGTCAGTGCTTAACAACATCGCCGTCTACCCAATCGAGAGAGACGTCTTCTACCGCGACTACGACGACCGTATATACGGCGTCGAAGCCTTCTTCCTGACCTACATCTCCATCACCACGCCCTTCGAAATCATAAGCTGCCTCGTCTTCTCCGTCCTCGCCGTTTTTGCCGTGGGCCTGGAACGCAATGCGCAAACGTACTTCATCATCACCTTCAACGCCTTCTGCATCACCAGCTGCGGCGAGAGTCTCGGTATCGCTTTCAACACGCTCTTCACCCATACTGGCTTCTCAGTGAACTGTATGTCGGTTTTCCTCAGTGTCGCACAGGTCATGGGTGGTGTGTTGTCTCTCGACGTTCCAGACTTCCTGCAAGCGTGGAATCATCTTTCGCCTGTGAAGTGGGCTGTTGGTAACATGGCGCCGTACACGTTACGTGGCCTGGAGTTTACATGTGACGACTGGCAGAAGGTGAATGGGCAGTGCCCTATCCAAACCGGAGAGCAGGTGCTGGACTTGTACAAACTGAACAAGAACCCGGAGATGAATCTCATGGCTCTGGGGATTTGCGCTATCGTTTATCGGTTCCTGGCGTATGTGGTCCTGAAGATGGTCAAGGAACGCTGGATAAACAAGCTGTGGAGGAAGCTGGGTGGCGGTAAGAAGAAGCAAACGAATCAGGCACCGCAGTCGGGATAGCTGGCATGCGTTTATGCATTATGAAATTAGAGAGCGGCTCGAATTGATGCATCAAAATTCATGAACATCTTCATACACCATTTACTCATTCGTCGTTGAAGATAGCTAAAGTGATGCAGTATCATCAACATCATCCAGTAACAAGAAATAGACCCAGCGCCTACTATGCATGCAGAAAACCCAGGCCATCATAAGACGTAATCCGTACCAGCAGTGAGAAATGCTAAGAACCGCCGAGTCCAGAAGACGACTTCGACACAATACAAAACATCCAGCCAGCGTCTAGAGACGGTGGCCCCAAAGATGAAGGCTGTTACCGTTCCCCCTGTTCCTCGTATTGTCCCAACCAGCATCCTTCATGGTCAAAACCCTAGAAACAGCATCGTTATACTTGAACGTTTGACCCTTCTCCCACAAACCGTTACCCAACTCGATACACTCCGTGACCGCGCAATGCTCCAACTCATCTTCAGGAGTACCATCGTTGCAAATCTGGATGAGGCGGTTGAGACCGGTAGTACTAGCCGCAGCGAGCGGTTCCAGAGGCAGTTGCGAGCCAGGAGAAAGCCAAGGGCAGAGATTGCCTGTGATGCGGTAGAAGATGGTGTGTTCAGCCGACTCGACGAGCATGACTCCCGGGGGGATGCCGCCAGCGATCTGACCGACATCTTGCTGCGCAGGCTGATTTGGGTGTCCGTGGTTGCCGTCGTGGAACATGGGCGCGGGACGGAAGTGTTGGGCACCTGCCATACCAGGAGCCACCATACCAGGCATCATACCAGGCATGACTCCACCAACAACTCCACCCATAGCAGGTACATTACCGAAAGCGAGACCACCCCCCGCCCACAACGGCGCTGCAGGAGCGAAAGGAGGCACGACGCCGGCGATAGCGCCTGGGGGAGGCGGCGGGAAAGGTACACCGCCCGCGTGCAATCCAAAGCCTATACCGTGATGAGCGCCTGGAAGAAAGTTGCCCGCACGGATAGGAGCAAGTGGACCGCCAGCAGGCCCCATGTATCCGCCCATCATGCCGCCCATCATAAAGGGGTCCATGGCGCCGACAGGTGGGAAGACGGGTGGAAACGCACCTATACCGACACCACCGAATGGTGGAGGGATGCCGTATGCTGGTCCGCCAATGCCAATGCCGAGGGGAGGGCCGTAGACGGGGGCGTGTTGCTGTTCTACGACGACTTGAGCGCCACCTGCGGCTGCGCCGGGATGGTGAGCTGGAGGTGCAGGACCGGCGTTATAGGGAGGAGGTGGTGGTTCGCGGTTGATGTTGGGGTTGTTACCGACGTTGGCGAGCCAGGGTTGACCTACGGGAGGGCCATCAGCCATCAGTGAGCAAGGTAAATGTATGAAGTAGAAAGCAGGGGGTAGCAGCTGGTGTCAGGATGAGCTGGCAGATGTGATGGCTCTGATTTGAGACACCTAAGAGATATAGCAACAGAGAGGAAGCGAGAGGATGAAGGAAAGGATAAGAATGTATATAAGCCTGGTCTTCCATTTATATGTATATGTGTAGTGTTGAGGCTGCGTTCGATGGTCTGGAGATGCGTGAAGTTGGAAGTGTTGGAAGTTACGAACAGCGGTGGGTTCACATAGTATTGCAGTATTTGAATGTACCGAATGGGGGCGATAGTCGAGTGTGATGAGAATAGAGGTATGTTTGAATGGCGAACACGTCAATACATCGGCGTTGACCATCTTGCGCAAACAATCCAGTGCCCTATGAAGACACTCTTCAAGACAGCTGCGCGCGTGATGATAAAGAAAGCACTGTGAATCTCAGCGAGAGCGTGTGATGCGACCTGAAGTTCGCAGTGGACGCCGATGGAGAAGCAACATGGAAGGATTGAACATGAGAAATAGAGGGTCGTGATAAGTTCCTCTGGTCCTCAATCAGCGAGAGAGTGGCAGCGCTGAGGTTGGAACGGCGACACAATCCCAGGGTCGCGGATGCCTCGAGGCGCATGAGCGCTAGCGTCGGACATCGGCGTGCTTAATGGCCGGCCGCTAGCACGTGACCTCCGGCTCCACGTGCGCTCCCCCCAGCGCCAGCTTCCCGGCGTCCGCAATGCCTCCCACTTTTGCGCTCAGCTATGCTACGCGTTCTGGCTATGTCCATCACCTGCGTCCTATAATCAGACATGCGACAGGTCCATCAGCCCTCGATCGATTAGCTCACGATCTCCTTGCGAAATGACACCGTCCGCGAACCTACCTAGGTACCGATACCACCGAGCTGTGCCGGCCGACATCGAACACGGCGCGAGCTCGTATGGCGAAACTTCCAACAAACATGATCAACATACGATACGAAGTGATGAAATGCTGGTACCTAAGTAAAAGAGACTTATGGGAGACATCTGCTGCCGCATGTCAGATGAGCTGAATCAGTACCACGTCTTCGGGCAGGAGGTCACCGGCATTCAATTTCGACCGCCGGCGTCTTACCAGCTACGCTAATGTCAGGCCCACTACACGAGCCATTAGGCGATAACAAGAGGCCGGCTCAGATAATCTGATCATTTCTAGAGATAGAGTAGTGCTTCAAAATGTTACTGGTCGACTTTATCAGCATCGGCATTCATCCAGACTGACCTTCACGATACCGGTATCTCGGCTTCTCTATCGGCCTGCTACCATATCCCAGGAACAAACTGCGGAGTGCGGAGTAATCATACCAATATCTCCGCAAAACCCACTAGTACCTAGGGCACACGTAGGTACCTTGTCTACTTAATCATTAACTCTGGCTATCTTCCAGTCTGCCACATTCAATCGAAGGACGATTGTTTCACCACGAGATGTATGTCTCCATCACGGTCTGGACAGGCCTGCTATACGCCCTGACGCAGGTACATGCATCATCACAGACCCTGGCGAATCGGCCATGGCTAGACCCAACACTGCCAAACGAACAGCGATTGCAACTTTTCCTCGACCAGTTGAACAACACCCAGAAATATGCTATGGTACAAGGCGATACCGAGCTCGATGACAACGGAACTGGAGTCAACCCTTGCATAGGACACATCTCTGGCAATGAGACTCTCGGGGTACCCTCAATTTGCATGGGAGATGGCCCAGCTGGGGTTGGAAACAACTTGAACAACGTCACCGCCTTCCCGGCCCCAATCGCCGCCGCAGCTTCGTGGAATACTACTCTCGAGTATGCTTATGGCCAAGCATTAGCCCAGGAGCATATGGCAAAGGGCCGCAATGTCGTTCTCTCACCGACTATCAACATCCTCCGGTCGCCACTATGGGCCCGCGCAGCCGAGACCTTCTCAGAAGATCCATGGCTGACCTCCCGAATGGCCGTGGCGGGTGTCTTGGGCGTCCAGAGTCAAGGAGCTCTAGCTTGTCCCAAGCATCTTGCTGGGTACAATCAAGACACTAACAGATTCGGAGTGGGTCCTGATTGGGATACCGTTGACGTCCACATCGACGAGCGGGTTCTGCACGAGCTTTACCTACCTGCTTTCAAGGCATCTGTTAAAGAGGCAGATGCTGCTTCTATCATGTGTTCTTACAATAAGCTGAACGGCTTCTTCGCTTGCGAAAACGACTGGCTTCTGAATACTACGTTGAGACAAGAGTGGGGGTTTCAAGGTTTCGTCGTCGCTGATTGGTATTTCTCCACAAGAAGTACTGTCAGTGCGGTTATGGACGGTCTAGATATCAGCATGCCTGGAGGTTCTCTCGAGGATTCATACGGATTCCCAGCCTACTACGGAGACCTTTTGGTTGAGGCTGTCGAAAATGGGACCATACCAGCATCGCGCATCGACGACATGGTTACAAGAACGTGGCGATATATGTTCAAGCTTGGAATGGTCGACAATCCAGTCACTGGAGATGCAGAGTCGATGGCAAGAACACAATCCCACCTTGATCTGGCTCAAAAGATGGCAGAGGACGGATCCGTTCTTCTCAAGAACGACGACAATACGCTACCTCTCTCGCCACAGAAGTACAAGCATGTTGCCGTATACGGTGTTGACGGGACCAACCAAAGCCAGGTCACGGAGAACCACGGAGGCTTCGTGATCGACACGACAATGGTAGTGCAGTCGCCTTTCGACGCATTGAAGCTTCGAGCTGGCAAAGAAGGCAACATGACAGTCACTTATGCTGAGGCCTATCCTGGCACCGGGCAATTTCCAAAGGTGCCCTCTAGCATGTTCGTCGACGGTGGTCTGAATGTCACATACTACACGACTACAGACTTCTCTGGACCTATCAACCAAACCGACTTTGTACCTAACATCACCTCAGCCTCATTCCCCAAAGAGCTCTGGGTATCTTGGCCCCAGGTGTTTTCCTGCGTCTATGAAGGCACTTTCAAAGCTAACACAAGCGGGATGTACCATTTCTCCCTAACCGGTCAAGGAGACGCCATACTTCACATCAACGGACAAGTCATCGCCAACATGTCGAAAGCGAACTTTGGAAACACCGTTCAAGGTATTGCGAACTTGACAGCCGGAGATGAGGTTTCCTTGGCTCTGAACTATTCCATGGGCTACTCGCTATCCACTGGCGCATACGGGGTCACACTGGGAGTCGATGTAGGCAACGAAGCAAGGGGCAAAGAAGCAATCTCACTTGCAGAAAAAGCTGATATCAGCATTGTCTTCGCGTCCGATAGGCATTCCGAAGGTGTTGATAGCAACATTGGCCTTTCTCTCCCCGGCGACCAGGACGCAGTCATCTCTCGGATCGCCAAACGGTCGAAGAAGACAGTGGTAATCCTCAACACCAACTCGGCCATTATCATGCCCTGGATCGATGAGGTCGATGCGGTGATGCAGTCCTGGTATGGAGGCCAGCAGATTGGTCTGGCGCTTGAAAGACTGCTGTTCGGTGATGTCAGTCCAAGCGGCAAGTTGCCGGTGACGTTCCCCAAGACACTGGATGATGCTATCAAGATCACGTCAGACCTGATCGTACCCTATGAAGAAGGGCTGAACGTTGGATACAGGTGG